TGGCCGTTTACATACCAGGATCTGCTCCCATTTCATCACAATTTTTCAGTGAACGGGTTTATATTTTAAAGATCATCACTGTGATGAGTTGCAACGATATAGTTGCAAGCGATTTCAACATCTACGTAGAAAATAAAAATGATTTTCACACAGTTTTTCTGCTAGACATTTTGGACATTTTCAATCTAGTAAATATATTCAATGAACAAACATGTTTAAAAAGGAGCACATTAGATTTGATCGCGACATCTAAAAAATTTCCTGTTTCCAACACTAAAGTATCACCTCATGGTATTTATTTGGACCACTGTCTAATTCAACAGATTTTGCCAATTGATTTGCCGTGTAGAATCTGTTGCAAAAGACAAGTTTGATCCTGAAATGAAATTCATGGAGATCAATTCACCCATTTAGTTCTTGATTTCTTCATCAGTAAACCATGTCAGGGTAGTAATGTTAATGCATTTTTGGGCTTGTTTGAAAAAGAGCTCAAACGCATCGTCGATATTGTTGCACCCCAACATTTTATTAAAATCAGACAGGATCCTTGGTTCGACAATGAATGTCGTCGTTCAAAATCTAACTGCAGAATGATGGAAAGACGTTTTAGAAAAACTTTGTTGGTTAAAAATAAAACAGAATGAATTGATGATTAAATTAAAAAAAACGTCTTTTCTCAAATTAGCAAAATAGTTATTACAAAAGACAGATCAATTATGGAAGGTGCAATCAAAAGCAGCTCTGGAGAATTCTAAATAAAATGCTGTGTAAAGACAAAGCATTTGCATCTTGTCCAGATCGGCGCAGTCGTTTCTAAATTTTTTTTAATGACAAAATTGTCAAGGTTATGAAATCTATAGCATCCCGTGATCCACCATCAGTTGCTTTTGTTGATTTTAACAACAAAGTATTTTCAGCTTTTGCTGACTATGCCGAAAATGATATAAAACAAATAATTTTTAATTCACCGTCTAAAACCTGCAATCTCGAATGCTTGCCTGCCTACTGTTTCAAGACGCATTTTAATTTATTTTCAAAGTTTGTCACCAGTTTTATCAACTGATATTTAGATACTGAAAAATTTTTTGTTTTGTACAAACATGCCCTGATGATGCCTCTTTTAAAAAAATGGGTTGGATACAAGTGATGAAAAAAATTACAGACCCGTCTCATATTCCCCGGTTATTTTAAAAATTATGGAATAAACTGGTTAGCCATTAAAAACAAAATTGTTTGTTACCTGTGCATCAGTCAGCATTCAGACAACATCACTCGACAGAGACAGCTTTGTTGGATATTTTGTCTACATTATTTTCAGTGTCAGATACAAAATTGATCTCTATATTGGCGCTTTCGGACATGAGGAGGCGTTTGATTGCGTCGATGTAACGGGTTCGATATTAATTACAACGCAACAACCAATATATTATTAATTTTTCTTTATTAAAACCTAACTATTTAATTAATCGAGTAAATCAAATTAACGAAAATGAAACGATAAAATAACCAACTTTACTAATGTCAACTCCGGCACAAGAGCGACAGAAAAGAAAGAGAGCTTAACTCATTTGTGCCGGCTATTGATAGACTTGCACGGCGCTTTCTCCTAGGTAAGCACTCGTGCTTTGTGCTAGTAACTAGCCCACGTGGCCATGTAATGGAGCAATTTCCGTTACAAACAAAGTATTTTCAGCCTTTGCTGACTATACCGAAAATGATATAAAACAAATAATTTTTAATTCACCGTCTAAAACCTGCAATCTCGAATGCTTGCCTGCCTACTGTTTCAAGACGCATTTTAATTATTTCAAAGTTTC